CTTCTGAGCTGTGATAGGTTTCCTAGTTCATTTGGAATCGCTCCACTTAGCTAATTGCAACTTATGCACAACAATTGATAATAACTAACATTACTTCAAAATTTAAATAATACAACTTACAGAAATCTTCCATCCTACATAACAGGACAGGTCATGGGGTCGTTAATGACAACCTTCGATCACTGTAATAACAACTTATGCACAACAATTGACAATAGCCAACATTACTTCAAATTTAAATTATACAACTTACACAAGTCTTCCATCTACATAACAGGACAGGTCATGGGGTCGTTAATGACAACCTTCGATCACTGTAATAACAACTTATGCACAACAATTGACAATAGCCAACATTACTTCAAAATTTAAATAATACAACTTACACAAGTCTTCCATCCTACATAACAGGACAGGTCATGGGGTCGTTAATGACAACCTTCGATCACTGTAATAACAACTTATGCACAACAATTGACAATAGCCAACATTACTTCGAAATTTAAATAATACAACTTACACAATAGCCAACTGTTGCTCTGAAACTGAGAAGCGCCTCACCTAAATATACTAGTAATAGATAATATCAATATGATATACCAAGAGAGAGAGGCTCGCCGGCGGTGGGGTGCGAAGGTCATCGATGATGGAACCCACGAGGCTCGCTGGTAGTGGGGTGCGAACTAGCGACCGACGGACCGTGCACGAGATTGGAGGCGTCCAACTAGAGACGGCCTGAGTGCGGACCAGAGACCGACGGAGTGCGGAGCAGCGAGTGACAATGTATTGAGCAGACACTGACAAACCTCGCCGGAGATTGAAGCTGTCGGAGCACACAAGGATGGACACGAACGAGACGGCGGCGGATTTCATGAAGATGACACCCGATAGGATTTTTTCTCTCAATCGTGTGCTTCAGTTTCTTTCTTTAATCAGAAGGGCAAGAAAGTAATTGCACGTTTGAAATTTTTTGCCATAAAGTCCCTTGGGACCTCATATACATTTTATGATTTCATGGGACCTTTCAGTAGTAAATTCTCTTCTGTGGGACTCTACAGTAATTTTCCCTATCTTTTTGGGTTCATGTGAATTGGGCTATTACTTTACCGTTTATTTCTAATAAAAGGACACATATGTGTGCCTAACAAAAATAAATAAACAAATATATGTACATGTGGAATTTGTATCTTCTTTACTCTCAAAGAAATTTTTGTTAATTTTATGAAGACGTGTGAGATTCATTTCAATAATAGGTGTTTTTGTAGAATTCACTTTTAGGATACAAATTTTAATATTGATTGCAGATATTCTTCTAGAGCATTATTTTTCATCTTTTACCTAATGATAAAGACTTGTGCACTCATGGAAGGTTGAGCGTCACTGACTCTTCTGGAGCCTTTTTAAAAAAAAATACGAAATATAAGGAATGACATTAATATTAATAATAACAAATTCTATCCAATATGATTCACACTTATATTTCAACAATCTCCCCCTCAAGTATTTTTCTTATTTCTGTATTTCAAATACAGTGAATAATATATAGTAAGCTAATAACATATCTTTAACTTGGAAATCCAAATGCTTCCTGATTCATATATAATAATAGATTTCAATCCAATTAAGCTATCACCTTAAGACCCTTTGATAAGTAAATATTCTAATATAAATGTTTGTGGGTCATAATTTTTCATTATCAATTTCTTTTCTGCCCACAAAAATAATGGGGGGAATTACATTAGTTATTCAAAAACTATATCGATTTTGTTACTAGTTCTTCAAGAACTATATCAACATTTTGCTATTAGTTCTTCTAGAACTATATCAATATTTTGTTATTAGTCTTTCTGGAACTATATCAATTTTTTGATTACATATAGTTCCTCCAAAAAAATGCTATATATAATTCTTCAGGAACTAAAATATATTATTATTTCACTATATGATATACTTCACTTTTTGTTATACCCTTTTTTTTTCAAAATATGAAGTATTTTTTTTTTGAACAAAAAATATATTTTCTCGATATTTTGTTATTCAAAAACTTTATTTCTTTGTATATATTATGTAATGCTTCAAAACTTATTCATAAATTTATAAATTCAACAAAAAAAAATAAGGACTAAAATCAAGCTATATAGTTAGGAAGATTTGAATCATAAGCCTTCAGGGATTAGTCTTTAAGACTCTATATTGGAAATTATATATATTTTTAAAGATTATTTGTGTCACTTCATATTTAAACCATAAGCCTTCAGGGTTTTAAAAACATCATAAATTATTATTTTCATGTCATTCAATAACATAAGTGTAATGGCTGCTGGCCATTTAGTAATAAGAAAATTATAATATTAATAAATGTCAAATTGAATGTCAAAAATATATGAGAATAAGATAAAAATAAAACTTGAATTTCAAATTAATTAAATGTAACATGAAATAAAGAGAAAAGATAAACTCTTTTACCAATACATCCTTCACTATATAGTCATTAGTCTTCTGGGCTACATTATTTATAATTCTAATTGTCATAATTTTTTTAATAAACAAACTATGTAATGATCCTTCTCATAATCAAAACTATATGGCTTCATGCCATTTAATAAAGAAAATAAAGATACATGGCATCTAGCTATTTAATTTCAAAATAAAAAATTAAAGATATATGGTTTCTGACCATAAGATAAAACTTTGATGTCATATGGCCTCAAGCCAATTAATAAAATAACAAAATTAAATATTTATGACTTCTAGTCATAAGATAGAAAATCAAGATTATATGAATACGAACCATTTAATAAGATAAAAGAAAATTTAAATATATATAAATGGCTTCTGGCTATAAAATAAAAATTTCAACATGATATATATAAATAAAGAAAAATTAAATATACATATGGCTTCTGGCCATAAAATAGAAAATACAAATTATATAGCTTCTAGCCTTTTAATTAGATAAAAAAATCAAATATCTACGGCTTTTGACTGTAAGATAGAAAATCAAATTTCTATGGCAACTAGCCATTTAATAAGATAAAACAAAATTATATATATGGCTTTTGGCCATAAAATAGAAAATTCAAATTACATGACTTCTAGCCATTTAATAAGATAACAGTAATCAAATATATATGGCTTCTAGCCATAAGATGAAAAATTTATACCTAAATACTTTGAGTTATTTAACAAGATAAAATATCAAATATATATGGCTTCAAGTCATTTAAAAAAATAGAGAATTAACCCTATATATATATAGCTTCTAGCCATAAGATAAAAACTCAAAGTTGTATAGCTTCTGGCTATAATATAGAAAATCAAAATCATATGGCTTTTAGCCATTTAATTTGAAAAGAATGGAAAATCTGAGTTATATGGCTTTTGGTCATTTAATTACAATGAGATGAAAACTTAAAATTATATGACTTCTAGCCATTTAACTTTAGATGGTAAATCTTTATGGATATTACTAGTATCTATTGAAACTTCGGGTTCCATCGAAATAGTGACATCATGTCAATAAGAAATAGAGGGGGGAAAAAAATCTCCCATTATAGTCATGGAACCCTATGTTAAAACAATGGTAGATAATCCTTTTAATTCCATATAATGGCTTAGATTATCCTAGATAAATTGAATAGGAATACGGATACTCTGAAACACCATATATATGATGCTTGAGGTATTTTTATTTGAACAGAGCAAATGATACTCTAGAAAAATAATAAAGATGATGCTCTAAAATTATGATGGGGTAGAAAAGTATACTATACGTACCTTGATTAGAGCTTCGTGTTGATAACGTGTTATAAATAAAAAAGAAATAGAGAAAAGAATCATACAGAGGAAGAGAGGATCAAGAAGAGAGAGTATTTCTCATTCCATTCAAGTGTGCTCAATACATTATACATGGCCTCTATTTATAGACACAGCTTTACACCTTCGATAGAATCTACAGATTACATGATAATATGAGATAATTGAGGGATATAGAGATAATGAGAGATATTAGAAACTATAAGAGATATAAGAGATAGTGGGAGATATATCAACATCCACAAAGATATTATTATATTCATAACAATTTAGTATATGTTCTCATTAAATATCGTTTTGTTGGGGATATTGCTCTGTGGTGATTGTGTGTAAGATAAAGAGTGGGAAAAAAAGAGAGGAAATTTTGATTATTCTTTCTTCTATATATGAGCTTTGTTTGTGATATCTTATATTGTGAAAACTCTATATATCAACTCAACTGGTTATTTTCTAAGATATATACAGATAGATAATTCCACATGCATATATAAATTGTATTGAAAATGTCTGGATATTAGCTAAAAGCTTTCTAAACATGCTTGTGCTTTGTCCGTTAAACTTAAGTGTAGTAACGTTGATTTCAAGCATGCTTGATTTCTTGAAACTATCATTTTCCTTCGATGATTTAAATATAATAGAATGACACCACGATATATAGAGGTTCGGATAAAAAAAAAATGAATCCTATATCCTCTCCCCAAGCATGAAGCCTGAGAATTTTACAAGTGATAAGTATTCACATTAAATTATACACATCTTCGTCGCAACATTTAAGCAAGCGGAAAAAAAAGCCACTATATGCAGAATACAGATTCATCACACACACTTTCACCAAAAGTTTCTTTGAAAACAACATAATAATGCACCCGAGCCACCAAAAAAAAAAATTCCACAAAATCAGAGAATATTCTGTCCAAGAAAGAGGATGGATTTCATCAGCACAGGTTCAAGACTTCAGGTCTGCAAATCCCTTGCTGTCATTCTTGCTGGTGCTGCATTTTAAGCACATGATAAATCTAGAGACAGCCCAAGGAAGTGAGGGAGAAGGAGAGAAAAAAAAGCAATGAAAATGAAGATCGTCTAGTTAATAAGAATCAAAGGAAAATATAGGGTATAGAAAAGTAAGTTAAACAAGCAGATTATGAGAGAAAGAAGAAAATCAAAGGCTTTGGTTTAGTTCAAACCTCTTTAGAATAGGAATATATGAAGGGGATCTTAATTGCAGCATTACCCCTTGCAAAGAAGAAGCATTGGGTTTGCTTTTACCAATTAGAACTAACCATGTTGGACTCTATCTGCAACAACCCCATAAAAAGAAAAACTCAATCAGAGTAGATTTAAAAAAAGAAACAAGAAATGGCATTTGTTATGTAGACATAAACTTGTCTAGAAGTGTACCTTCATGATTATTTTTTGCCAATAATTCCTCATTACATGATTGGTATAAGCTTAGAAGAATCTGCACTTCTGCATAATTTTGAGACCAAGTGGATTGCTTTTGTAATCTGTGAAGTGATGGAAATGTGAGTATGATGGACTATGTATGTAAAGGTGTTAAATGGTTTATGCTTCAGTGCAGGATATGTAATAAGAGTAACTAAAGTAATGAATAATAATTTAAGCCACATCAGTTGTTTATGGAAACTCATCATTCTGTCATCAAATATATCTAGAATTATTTAATACAGACATATGAGATTGCCGCCGCTATTAAGTTCATGAAGTTTTCCAAATCATAATACTTTAAGTTAATTCTAAGAGTCAAAATTTGGAAAGGAAAATAACAAAAACAAAGTATAAAGTCATTGAATATACGCAACATATGAAATTATAGGAAGAAAAACTAAACTAAACACGAGTAATACAGTGAACTACTAGAATTGTCATTCATTTTTATCAATGAGCACTTTCACGTGATTGTTCTGAAAAAATAATTGTTTTCTTATCTCCAAAGATAATAATCATGCTTTTTGTCTCAGTATATAAGCAGCTAGTTAAATGGTCATTTCCAATAATATATAGACCTGATGAGCTTATGTAAGAGGGGGGGAGAGATGAAAAAACAAGGTAAAGAAAAATAGGCAAGGTAGGTTTATAGAAACAGAGAGCGAGCTGGAATCCAGAGCGTATCGAGAAACAAATGATTTTGTAAGTATCATATAAATGATCAAAAGATTAACCTATGCAAGTAGTGATTCCAACAATGCAAGTAAATTAACACCATTGAGGAAAATTTAATTATATGGAAGCATAATGGTCTGTGAATGCATGTATGAAGTAGTAGAAAATAAAATGCAATAGTTGGGAACATGAGTGTGGACGATAAATACCTGATCCATAATTAATTGTATCTCATACCGTGAATAGATTGATGTTTGGGATGTGAGATATCTGGCGGAAAAATTGTTCATCCTTGCTGAGGTATTTTTCTTCAAGCAACGGACATCCCCAAATGTGAAGCTTTCTTAAAGAAGTAGGCAGCTTTTCTCCTGACATTTTCTCCAGCTTGGGACAATAGATGATCTTTAGACGTTGGAGAGAGGTTAGGTGTTGAAGTCCTGTGCAATGCAATGTCTCCAAGCAATCAAAGCCATTGAGTTCTAGGGTGGTTAGAGTGGCAGGAAGAAAACACCCCTCTGGGAAACACTTCACTTTACTATAGCGATACATACGAAGGTAAGTGATATTACTTGGGAGGTGCCACTCTGCTTGATGGGATAATAGCTTACTACTACCTACAATAATAAGTTCCCTCAAACTTGCCACAAGGATCCCTTCTGGAAATGCTTCCATCTCATCACAATGCTCAATGCTTAGCTTTCTTAAATTCGGGAGAAGGCCTTCCATGTCATCCCACATAAATTTCACAAAATTACACAATGCAATACTGATAGACTGGAGATTTTGAAGAGGAGAAGTTGAACTCATCACAAAATCAACATTTTCACACAATCGTACCCGTAAATATTGTAATGACTGGGGCAAATGAATAATTGGAGGTGATATATTAGAGTAACCAGAGATAGTTAATTGTTGTAAATGCGAATGTTTGGAGAGTGGCTCTGCCATTGATTCCAACATCCGACATCCTACAATCTCTCGCTCCCAAAGGCATGAAGGTAACTCTTGCTGTTGCCACCCCACATTTTCACTTCCATCTATCGCTAGTTTATGAAGTTTGGGACACCTCGGAATACTAGAACAAAAAAATGGACAACGATCAATCTCCAGAGTTTCTAAAGAAAGCAACTGGCGAGGTAAATTTCCAATTAACTTGAGGCAATCATATATTCTGAGTATTTGGAGCTTAGGGAAAGCTTCCATGTTAATGGAATGCCATTGTTCCCATGAAGTCATCGAAGAAAAATCGAGAACTTCAAGGGATGGAAATGGTATTATGGAAGCACAATCATCTCCCTTCAACAACTCATCACCAATTATTTTTACCCCATTTAATCCATTAATTCTTAATTCCTTTAGAGCGGGGAGCCGTCCAAGGGTTGGAAGCATGCAACAGTTTTTGCACCCTACCAATTGCAACATAGTCATGTTCAAGTAGCAATGGCTTCCTAACCAATCCGGAAATATCGTGCCCCTATAATTTCTAATTTCCAAATCTTCTAAATCCCAATGAGGTTGAAGATTTCCCAAAATATCTCTCTCAGTTCGTGTGTCTTCCACGTCACCATCTCTAGACCATGATAATGTTAACCCTTTAATGTGCTTCTTCTCCATCATCCTCGCCTCGTAGGCTTCTTTTCCATTCTTGACAATCTCCAATTTACTAATTTCAATCAAACCCTTCAAATTTGACATTCCTCCCAATTCTCCAATTCCGGTCCCTTGGTCTTCGGCCACAACATATTTACTTAAAATTTTCAAATCTTTTAAGCTACCCAATCCCCTCGGCATTTCTTTCAAGTTAGTGCCTCTTACATCAAGATGTCGCAAGTTTATAAGATCTTGCATATCTCTTGGCAGCATCTTCAAAGAATCACAACATGGCAACTGCAATGTTTGTAGATTGTATAATTCGCACAATGAGTCGGGCAAACTTACAATCTTCTTTGAGAAAGATAGATCCAAATACCGAAGATTTACAAGATCTTTCATGTCACTTGGTAGCATCTCAAGATATGAACATCCACGCAACTTCAACGTCTGTAAATTAAACAACTTGCAGATTGAATTAGGCAAACTTCTAATACTTGTAAATGATAGATTCAAATAGCGCAAATGGATAAATTCCCCGATTAAGTCAGGAACTATCTTTAAGGACCGCAAACCCTCAAGTGACAGCATCCGCAAGTGCTTCAAATTTGATGATACAATATGAGAAGCATTTCCAATAGACCTAGGGACATTGAAAAAATCCAATCCTATAAATGTTCGTATGCCTTTTGATTTTTGAAAAACCTCACGACTTAAGCATGGATAATATTGAAAGTTGCAAGATAAATGACGTGTCTTATTACCAATTTTGTTTCCATTCTCCCCTAATCTAAGGTAAAAGTCTCCAGCAACATGAGTTGCTAACTCATGAATGAGATCATGCATCCCAAAGGACATATCATTTTTAGGCAATAAGGGTTGAAAGAATGATCTTGAAGTTAAATAATCAAAGTACTCTTGACCAACTTCTTCTAAAGTCATATTTCGCTTTGACGGTTGCAAGAAACCTTCTGCCATCCACATCAAGATTAATTCTTCCTTATCAAATTGATAATCCTTCGAGAATAAAGAACAAAAGGCAAAGCATTGTTTTAAATTGGGAGGGAGATAATAATAACTAACTCTCAAAGCTGGAATGATCTTATCGTCCAATGAATCCCACATCGATCCTTTTAATATATTATTCCAGTCTTCAAAGTGAGGCTTTGATCGAAAAAGTCCCCCAAGCACCTTTGCAGCCAAAGGCAATCCTTTACACTTACTAGCAACATCACTTCCAATTTTTTCTAAGCATGAATTCACAGTTGAATCTTTACAATAGAAAGCATGTGCAGCAAAAATTGACAAACAATCTTTGTCACATGATATCTAGGCAATAAAATGATGAGATTGTTTTGACCATCAAGGCAACACGCTCTAGGCGAGTTGTAACAAGAATTTTACATCCTTCCACTCCATTGTGAAGCAAAGTCTTCAAAGTATTCCAATCATTGTAGTTGTCATTCCAAAAATCATCAAGAACAACTAAAAAAGTTTTCCTTTCTAACTTCTTCGCCAGATGAAGCTGAAGAAGATTCAAATCCAAGTTCTCACAGACAAAATCAGGATTGATAGATTTTATTATGGTCTGTGCTATTTTCAAAAGATCAAATGCTTCAGAAACACAAACCCATGCGGTAAGATCAAATTTTTGCTTGACATCATTATAAACTAAATTAACTAAGGTGGTCTTCCCTACCCCGCCCATGCCCACAATGGGAATTACAGACAACGGACCACCCTCACCACTAAACATCAGCTTAATTATATCTTTTTTTTCTTTCGTCCTCCCGTACACTTCAGAGACTTCCACATGAGATGTAACTGGAGACCTCCAGGACAGAGTTTCCAGACCCGTTCCAGTTCTCTTCTTCAAATCAAGAGCATCTTTTTGCCCCACAATATATTCAATTCTATCGCTGATAACTTCTAACTTATTTGCCATGCTTGTATCTCCCAGACTAAGAGAAGCAAAGGAGAAATAGCTCACCTTTTTCTGAGTGGCAGCTCGGGTGGAAATCTCATCCATCAAGTCTTCCAAGTCATAAACAGCATCTTTGAGTTCATCTAGCCAATCTTTCACAGCAGGATCCGTGAATTGTTTGAGTTCTGCATCGTTGAGCACAGCTCTTGCAGCAATCAAGGATGGCTTCAAATGATTAAGCAACTTGTGATCCCGCTTCTTTCCTCCGATTTTGTTGATTAATTCTGTCAGCTCAGGCGTTAATCTCTCCAAAAGCACATTGAAGGCAGCAGAGAGAAGAGCTCCACTTACAAATGACGCAGCCATGATCTCTTCGGGAATGGGTGATATTTCTGAAGACAGTGAAGATACTCCCAGACTTGCCGGAGGGAAAATGAATTAATACAGACACGAGACTCAATTTATTTGATTTCATTGCATATCCAAAACGCAATTCCGTGTGCTAAATATTTCTCAGCAAAACGACACCAACAGGGAAGTACTCCCATCTACTACAAGTGGCTAGAAATTCTTAGGTGCTCTTAGACCACCACGTCGCTTGAATGTTGTTCAATAAAAACACACCAACTCAATCATTATGTCAGTCTATGGGAGTCATTTTCATATGAGCGGCTTGTAGCAGAATTCGGGCAAAAAAAACAAAAACACAAAGACTTGTGGGCCTCCAATTAATTGAGGTGGTACGTTTTTATTGGACAATGTCCAACTGACCTTTACAATCTCACTTGATATGGGTAAAATTAAAAAAAATTAAATTTAAAACAGATTTAATGAGTTAATTATCATTTATTATTTTGATAAATTATTTAAAATGAGTCATGTTATGTACGCATGGAGTAATTGCATGTTTAGAGAATTTTCTTTTCCGAGTGAAAACTGAAACTCATTCACAAGACAGAGATTTATAAGAGATTAATAAATGCAGTAGTTTTCTTCGTCACTTTAGAATAAGAGGTGGTCGTTGATTAACGATAAGAAAATTACTTTTCAAGAGCTAGGGAAAGAGGAAATAGTTCTTTTTATCATATCCTTATAATTTTACATGATTTTTAATCACGTCACCTCTCTATATTTTTTAACTTTATTTAGAGTTAATGTACATCTAGCACCCTGAAATATTTTCTCAGGTATATCCAATACTTTAAAGTATTTTGTGGTGCATTCAGCACCCCGAAGTATGTTATCAGGTGCATTTAACACTCTGAAGTAATTTGTAGTGCATCCAGTACTCTGAAGTATTTTTTTAGGTGCATCCAGCACGTAAAAATATTTTTTGGGGCATCCAGTACCAAGGCAAAAAAAAATACTTCAAGGTGCAGGGTGCCCCTAAAAAATACTTCGGGGGTGTTGAATGCACCACAAAATGCTTTAGGATGCTGGATGCACCTGAGAAAATACTTCAGGGTGCTGGATGCATCTTAATCCTTTTATTTATAATATAACTTAACTTAATTAAATAAATGATACTGAAATATAAAATATTGATTGTAAATTTAAATTAATTTTTATATAATTATGAAATAAGTAAATATTTAATAGTTGGTTCAAATAAAATTAATTTCAATTATATTAAGTTTTTAGGAAATTTTATTCTTTTAATTCGGATTTTAAAATTATAAAAATAAATATGCATTTATTATAATATAAATATAAATATATGTCTAATTCAAAAATTTTAAAGAGCACTAAAATAAAATTATTATAAATTTATTATTAGAATAAAAAATTGAAGAATAAAGATATTTTAAGAAAAAAGTTTCACTTTTTATGTGTTAATTGTCTTTAATAAATTTTAATTAATCTTTTGAGGTGTATAATTCAGTTATTTGATAACAAAATTTTGAACAGGAGGAAGTAATAATTATGCATGTTTCTGAATTCTGAAATTTTTTTTCGAGGAAGGTAGTTGAATAGGAACTGGTAAATGCTTTTGGGGAAATGATGAAATGTTCTTTATGTCATCTAATATTTTTACCTGAAATAATACTCCCTCGTGTCATAAATATAAAACTTATTTTATATTATAATTTATATTAATGAATGAGTGTTATATTTATGATTGGAAGGGTATTTTATTCAGATGTTTTTAAATTCTGAATGTAAAAAGGAATGCAAAAGGGAGAGATTGTATTTAGAGTATAATTTTTTACATTTAAATTAGTGTCTTTTATAGATATTTCTCTACCGAGGAGTTAATTAAAATTTAGTTGTTGGAAAACAAATAATATTAAGGACAGAAGGTTTGAGCAAAAGTGGAGTGATATTAGTACCTCCTGCTCTAAATATAAGAGCTAATTTATACTATAAGTTGCATAACAAACTAGTTGTTATATTTATTATTTAGGACAAAAGATAGTACCACTATGTTCCTATTTATAAGTCACTTAGATCACAAACTCACAAATCAATAAATGTATTAAATTGATATTTTTTTTTCATATTTGTTCTTATAAAAAGGTTAATGGGCATTTAGCACCTCCAAGTATTTTCTCAAGAACATCAAGTACCTTAAAATATTTTATGGTGTATCTAATACTCTGAAATATCTTTTTAAATACACCCAACATGATGAAGTACTTTTTGATACATCCAATACCCTAAAATATTTTTTTTTTTATGTATGTCTAGCTTCTTAAAATAGTTTTTGGTGCATTCAATACCAAGACTTTATGGTATTTGACGCACATGAAAAATATTTTGAGATGTTGAATACGTCTTAACTTTTTTATATATATATATTTTCTTTTACCTATTTACATTATTTTTCTTTACATTTATTAAGCTGATAAGGATAAAATCATAAAAAGCTTATTAAATACCTCGCAGATAATTTGTATTTAGAAAAAAAGCATTTGTGATATGAAATTAACCAACAATGAAAGTACATTGGAGAAGAGAAGCAGACAAGAAAATGAGAGAATGATATTGTATTCCTTCACTTGCTTCACTTATATCACAATACAATGACATGCCTTATTTATAGGCATAGTTTTACACATAAGTTACATTTGTACTTAAATGATAGATAGTGGACAATAAACCATATGAATTTGAGTGGGGGGAGTTACAAGATTAAAAGCATAGTGGAAAGGTAATGGAGTAGTGGAAGATTAATGCCTAGTGTAAGTAATGGGAATTGATGATGAAGTTGAGAGGATGAGGAAGAGGAAAAAGAGGAGATGGACATCCACATGTTATAATATTCATAACACTCCCCCTTGGATGTCCATTATATAATGTATGTGCCTCATTAAAAAACTTCAACTAGAAAAAACCTTGCGGGATAAAAACCTAGTAGAAGAAAAAGAGTACATATTCACTGATACACTATTTGATGCTGCCTCATTAAAAAACTTGCTAGGAAAACCCAATGGGAAAAATCCATAGACAAGGAAAAAAAAGTACAGCGTGTATTAACTCCCCCTCTTGATAACATCAATTGATATTCTTGAGTCTGTGACATCTGATATCATGAACAAACTTTTCAAATATCATACAAAGAAGTGACTTGGTGAACAAATCTGCTAGATTTTCACTGGAATGGATTTGCTAGATATATATTTCACCATCTTTTGAATATCATGAAATGCTTCATCTGGAATTAACAACATGTGGATAAAAAAGGAATCTAGAATTATATTCCAATGTCTTTCGTGAAGAACTATATCTTAACAGTAAGTTAACAGCAAATAATATGTGACATCATGCATAACTGATAAGATATGATATGGTACTTCTGGACCAAGTAGTTCTTCATCACCTTCTCAAAATATATAAGGTTCTTTATTCACCTCCACAAATCTCACAACCATCAAAGTATATAATAGATGTGATTTATCTATATAAAAACACTTTAAGGCCTTTCTTATATCAATTATTTGATACACAAAAATCTTTATTTCTCAAGTATTCAATTTGCAATTTGAGGCAAAACTTTGTTCTTTCCAAGCCATTCATTTCAAATTCTTTCTTTAAGCAATCCATAGCTTTTGTAAACTCTTCAGGAGTTTAATAATATTTATGTCATCAACATAAACAATTATAGCAAACTCACTTTCAGATCTTTTCATAAAAATGCATGGGCAAATTTGATCATTTGTATATCATTTCTTCAACCATATTTACTTAACCGGTTATACTATATACATCCTGATTGCTTCTAGCAACTTATTTAACTTAATCATTGTTCTCAAGAACTTGAATTGTATACTTTTGCCAAGTGAAATTCTTTAGGGAATTTCATATATTTTGATTCAAAACTATAAAATGGATCATACATAATGAAATTATTTTAATCTTCATAATATTTTATATACTGAAAGATTTTC